CTTATGGTTTTGCATTAGTACAGCCCCAATTCCAATCCCACTTGCATCACATTCAATTTCAAAAGTCAAATCAAAGTTCGGTAAAGCAAGTAGAGAAGCATTGCACAACTTATCCTTTAAAACATTAAAAGCATGCTCTTGGGATGTACCCCAAAAAAAAGGAACATTTTTCTTTATCAATTCATTTAGAGGTGAAGCTAGGGTGCTAAAGTCCTTAATAAAACGCCTATAAAAGCTAGCTAGCCCATGAAAACTTCGAACCTCCCCAATATTCTTAGGAGTTGGCCATTCGCTAATAGCCTTAACTTTCTCACTATCCACCTCAACTCCTCGACTAGACACTATGAAACCAAGAAAATTAACCCTTTCCATGCAAAATTACATTTCTTTGGGTTAACATACAATTTCTCATTTTGAAGTGTAGTCAAAACAACACGCACATGCATTACATGATCTTCCAAAGACTTCGAATACACAAGTATATCATCAAAATAAACAACCACAAATTTTCCCAAATATTCACGCAATACATGGTTCATCAACCTCATGAAAGTACTAGGAGCATTAGTTAAACCAAAACGCATAACAAGCCACTCATACAATCCATATTTGGTCTTAAATGCAGTTTTCCATTCATCTCCAACATTCATACGAATTTGATGATACCCAGATTTCAAATCAATCCTAGTAAAGATACTACAGCCATTCAATTCATCTAACATATCATCTAACCTAGGAATAGGATGACGATATTTAACAGTGATCTTATTAATGGCCTTACAGTCTACACACATTCTCCAAGTTCCATCTTTTTTAGGCACTAAAATAACAGGCACACTACAAGGACTAAGGCTTTCGCGTACATACCCATGAGCTAACAAGTCATCCACTTGCCTTTGAATTTCTTTGGCTTCAGTAGGATTAGTCCTATAAGCTGGTCGGTTAGGTATGGTAGCACCTGGAATGAAGTCAATCTTATGCTCGATGCCACGAAGTGGTGGCAATTCCTTCGGCATCTCCTCGGGAAACAAGTCCTCAAATCCTGTAAAAGAGACAAAAATACTAGGCAAGGAGGTGTTAAGCTCGTTAGTAAGAAAACAAGACCCTTTGTACAAAAGTACAAGAACAGTCCGTTTTGCCATTAAAACATTTATAACCTCACTTGAACTAGCATACAAGCTCACCGTTTTGGCTTTTCTCTCATTTTTTCCACTAGGCCGATTGCTACTCTCTTGCTTTTCACTCAAACTCTTTTTTTCTCTCAACTCATTTTCTTTTGTTTCTTTTTCACTTTTTGTTTTTGCATCGGCCTCTCTGGTAGTCCCTTTCCAGCTCCGTCTCCACGAATGGATAAGATATGACCAACTGAACGTACATCACAAGAACATAAGTGTAAATACCATTACAACTACATAATAATAAATATATTCTAGATCACTTACCACTGCTGAACTATGGACCTCCTCCCTCAGATCTTTTGTACCGACGACTCTACTACACGAATACCAAATTATCTGGGGAATCGCGGTCTCGCTTAAACGATTGACACCGGGAGTGATGAGAGATGGGACAATCTCATATATCTACACCTGAATATAAAATTTCAATTTAGTCTCACACCTAAAAAGGTTTTCACAAACAAACACAAACTCGTATGCGTACGTCTTAATTACCTGAAACGCAAGCAGAAATCCTTGTAGGCTTACTTGATATTTTTTGTTCGTTCTCACTTTATTCTTGTATAGCGCAACTTTTCCATTCATCGCACGCTTCAGGCCGTTAACTATCCTACTCCAAACATGAGAACCCCAGTCCAAATGGTTGAAGTAGTCCAAGTCATCGACTTGGTTGTACAAGTCGATGTCAACTTTCAACTTGCTCTTGCTCTTTCCCATCATCACAAGCTCCGTGTACAAAATTAATATCACTTTAACGGTGTCCCCATCGTCCTCGAAATCAGTCTGGTTGTAAACCTCCACAAATTCTTTGAGCAGCATGGAGGCTTCATCGTTGAAGTACTTCCTCCACAACCTATTCTTTCCAATCTTTTTCTAGACCACCTTACCGGGCAGCCGCCACAATCCCAATATAAGCATGAATTGATTATTCGAGAATGTCAACACGTTGCCACCAATTAAGAATCTCATGTTGTCGTCACTGCTACCAGCAACCTCCCTTGATAGAAAGTGATGAACTACACCACTGCAGAACATCATCTCTAAGTCGACAAATCGACCAAATATTGTTCTTCTACGAAACATATCAAGTTGTTCCGCTATGAGCTTATCCTTTATAAGCCTGTTGACATTGCTTAAGTGAGACATGCTGGTAGCTTGAGCCGGAAAGCAATCATTCTCCTTAATCCTCATCTGATGGTCCATTCTGCACCTGCAACAAATTGAACAAGATATATGATGACAAATTAAGCAGATAGAGAAACGGAAACACGCAACTAGTTCAAAAATTTAATAATTGAACATGATACATAATCACGGATTAAGAAGATAGGGAAAAGGAAACATGCAACTAGTTGAAATAAACAAATGTAAACCACTAGAATTATTCTCGATATCGATGATTCTCTCGATTTCGCTCTTCCTATTTCACACGGTAATTGTAAATCACTATAGATTCTCTCGTTCTCGATATTTCTCACTCTCGATCTTTCTAGCTCTCGATGTTCTAGCTCTCGATTTTTCAAGTTCACTGTATTTCTTGATCGCATTTTCGCTCTGGCTATTTCAACATCAGCCCCCCCTCAGTATTACTAGTTTTCAATAACACGATTTTCTCCTTCATCGATTCATTTCCATGGCGCCCATTATGTATTTTCCTCTTCTCCGAAAGCCCTAGATGTGGAGTGTATAAAATCCACAAAAATCGAAAAAGAGACAGACGACCAACATCGGGGTTGTACAGAACTTACGAACAATAGCTAAAATAGTGGAAATTAAAACGAAAAGCTTAAGCAATCGAGAGATAACATGCACTAACCCAAATTTGCCAATGAAAATTTCCTTCGTTGTAATCCACTACCGAAATCACTTTGTCTCACCGCTTGAAGATAGAGTCAGGGTCAGAGTTACCTAAAAAGAGTCGCAATCGAAAGATCAAGGAGAACGAGATTTCTCAAAATCTAATTTCAATCGCAATCGGTGAAGACAAGAGAAATTTGAGCGAGCGAAGAATGCTACAGTGTGAGTGCGATAAAGATGGAACGGACGTGGGAAAATTGAAATTTCGGACTATTCGTATTACCCAAGTAAGGAGGGGCATGGGAGATCATTTGGCAAAATAGGTGATGTCAGCAAGTGACTAGAAAACTTATGTTTTGAAAAGGGCGATTAAAAAACTTAAGAGGCCTGTAAGGCTTATTTTGTCAATTTTCACAAGAGTGAAGAGATGAAGGACTAGCTAGGGTTTCTATATATTTTTTTTAATCATTTTCCCCTTTTCTTTTCTTTAATTATCATTATTTTACCAAAAAGTAATGGGCCCAATTAAAACAAAACCAAATGGGCAAGCCCTAAAAAAAATTGGTATATTCTTCTTAATCCTTTCTCAAAATAAGACCCACTTAAAAATAATTCGGGAAAATAAATTAAGAGGTTAACTTATGCTTCAAACCCAATAATAAACCAAAAAGAAAATTAAATTTCAAAAACCTTGGAATAAGATTTAATTAAAAATCTCATCCAAAAATCGAACACTTAATTTATCTTACTCCAACGAAAATAAACTAAATTCTAATTTACCAAAAATTAGAATTCCAAATACAAAATCCAATAATTTAAATTATCCACTTAAGGGAAAATTCAAAGGCACAAATTCAATCTTATAATAAAACAAACCCGAGAACGCGGGGCGTTACAGAAGCTCATTTTCCTTGTATTGACACTGATTGAGGATATAGACAGCTTGTTAGCTTTACTAGCTTCAATCATATCATATGTTTTGATGATAACAAACTTTATTCACTAATAATTTTAGTATTTCAAAGTATCTATAGTGTAGAGCTCTTAATGACGATTCCAACACTTTTCGAATTACTCAAATCGGAGTTCAAGCGAACAAATTATGGTAAAAAAAAGTTGGTAGAAAAATCCTTCGTGGCAAGTGAGCACGGACAAGTGGAATGCTTAGAAGTTGACACGTGGCATTAACATATATATCTTTGCTGATGTGGCATTCAATAGTTGAATAAATGAGAAGATGACATGTGGCAATTTCAAATATGAAGAAACAAAATTTTCATAAATCTCCTCATCTCTATAATTACTCTAATCTCCATAAATTGATTTTAATTTCCACATTTTTTTCCAATCTTCATAAATTTTCCTTAGTCCTTATCCTTCTTACTTATCCTTCTTATTAATCTCGACCGTTCATTCAATTTTGCCATAAATCCAATGGCCAAGATTCATCCTTGAAACTCTATTGAAAGCCACAAAACTCATCATTCTCTACACCAATTATCAAAGCAAACATCTTTCTCCTTCAAATTATTTTGCTCTCAAATTTTAATTTTCTCCACGCGAAAAGTTTCCCGTGAGAGATACATTAGAGTCTAGCTTTTTAAATATTGCTTTAGTGCGAAATTTGCAAATCCACCATAGTGAGGTATTTTATTTGTATTACTTATTTTATATTTTGGGTTTTGTATTAAGATGTGGGTACACCTTGGGTGGTAAGAAAACACAATTATGAGTTTCTCTTTAGCCTAGAACAAAAAGATTGTCGATTGGTTTGATTCTCACTCGTAAGAGATTTGGTGGAGTAAAATACCCAAGAATGACTCTTGGGGAGTAAGAGTAGAAATTTCCAAATCACTATAAAATTCCTGGTGTAATTTCTTTATTCCTACTCTTTTAATTTTTGCATTTAAATTTTGTTTGATTTTTGTTATTGTTAATTTTATTTTTAAAATATTAAAGTTGGTAGTCTCCAAGAGATAGCTTGGGGAGCTGGGACCTCAAGGAATATCTTTGAGGTCTTCGGTTCAAGTCACATGGGATGCAACTTCCACCAAACAATTACCCCTTGCTTATGTACGGGTATGAGAGCAATGTGCATACCCCTAGGTATAGGGCCATAAAGGTTCACCTTTCTAGTGTTTCTATACGATCCTACAATTGGTATCAGAGCGGCTAGTTCATTTTTTTCATTCTTCAAGTTTCTATCTTAAAAAAAAATTATTTTTATTTAAAACTTAATTGTTTGAGCTTATGGCAAACATTAGAGTTAATAATTCTATTGAATACTATTAAGAAACTCTTGAGAGTTTGATCTAAGAACATTGCTAACAAACAAAACCTATAGAACTCAATCCCAAAAGTCCCAAAAAATATTATGAAATCAACCTAAGGAAAGCAAAAACTGGGTTACCTTATTGATCAAATATCTCAAGGCAAGAAAACTCGTTCCTTGTTTGAGATCGGAATCACTCCACAAGCAAAATAGATCAAGTCTCACTTGAATGATCCTAAATATGCAAACTATCACAAGATTGCAAAATCCATTAGCTCTTGGGTAAAAGAAAGGCTCAAAGGCTCATTTCATTATATCTTCAAATCGATCTTGTCAAATCTGACATACATGACTATATTTAGCCTTCATACTAAACTAACATACGAGCATTTGAAGGCTTGGAACACTTAAGTCCATCAATGCCATAAACAATCATTAACTGATTTGTAACCTAAAGAGTAAATGAAAAGTTTTAAAACTTAAAATACTTAAAATACATCATAAATTCAAAAATTAAAGATTAAATCAGCAAATCAAGAGTTTTGTAACTATAAAGGATTAAATAAAGCATCATTTAATGTACCATGAACTTTTAGTTCAATAATTGATGCATTTGTCTTGAATGAAGCTTGAGTTGACTTGTATTTGCTTTGAATATGTAGGAGATTCATATCACAGATGCCATGTATGCCTTTGTCTCTAAGAACTTGATGCCTACATATATAGAAATCTCGCAGTGGTGTGGTATGGAGCATAAAGAATAAAAGATCAGCAATCTCGAAGATAAAAGTCTGCGTGAGTGTGTGTGCTGAATCCTCACAAGTAGTTGTGTCGGAAAAATGCGGTTTCCCTTTCCTTATATATGAAGATCGAGAGAGAGGATTCGAGTGGAGATCCTTGCTCACTTGGTCGTCTACAAGGGAGAGGTATGTCTCGCAAAGGGTTCGTGGGGACCACCGACATCCTCTGTCTCCCGCTATTGTCTAGGTAGGGGGCTTGATGGTGCCTGAGGGTCCCTAGAGGTACATAGTAGTTTGGGTACAGGGTGTCAGCCCCCTACTCGCTAGTTATCCTTCATATAGGATGTGTATGAGTGCTTGACCCTGTCGTAGTGCGCTCAGATCCTTTCTGGTGCACTCGACCATGCTAGGTTGGTATCCTAACCTAGCGGTTTGGTTGGCCTTTTGACACATGATATTTTGTTTTTACAAAATAAAACATAGTGGATACAAAATTGAAAATTAAGGGACCTATTAGACACAAAATTGAAAGTTTAGAAATCTATTAGACCTATTAGACACAAAACTTAAGTTCAGAGACTTCTTTTTTCAAGTTCATGACCTATTAGATATAGACTGAGAAAATTGCGCTAAACGACTTTAATTAGAGGGCATTAACGAGATATGCCAACATTTTGTAAAACTTGTTATTCTAACCTTTTGTCGTGTCACTATCCTATGAAATTACTTTTTTGTCCCTCATTTATTTCTTCCTATACACAATATAATTTCCACATTTTTTTTACTTTTCTTCTTTATCTTCTCTTCATCTTTATTATTTACTTTTCATCTTTTACCTTCACTCTTATTTTATCTCTTTTATTTTTTTTAAATAAAAAATTTCAATTTATTCTTTTTCATTTTCCTCATTTTTCTCTAAATTCAAATTCAAAATATTTCATTCAAATTTTATAAAATTGCTAATTAATTTAATTCACGAAATAAACCCCTCCTTCAAATCGCAAACCCAC